TTAGAAAACATAATGAAGTAATTAAACATTTGAATATATTATATTCATATAAATATGGCAACAATAATTTATTGCGATGATGGTTGGTGGAGCTATTGTTAATGCTCTAGCTTTTTCGGGGAGTAATTTTTTATTTTTTACTTTGAGGGAATCAAACGCTAAAGAAGTTGAAGAGGAGCGTAAACGACATAATAAAGCATTAGAACAACTCGAAGCAGCCCAGTCACATTGGACCAGGAAGAGGATATTAAGATTAGATTTTATTAATGAAGAACTGCGTAGGCAGGGACATTCAATTCAAACGTTTAAGGATGTTGAATCTGCCATGCACGAATACTTCCTCGTTTATGGGAAAAAAACTTGACCCAATGCCAAAACCAACAATAAGTTGGGGAACAAAAAAACGCAAGATAATATTCATCATGTTGGGGTTGACTGGTGTGGCTTTTTTAGGTTACACAATAACTACACATAAACCATGACCTAGTTAGGCTGGGCATGCATTTAGACAAATGATACTAGAAGTGAATATTTATCACAATGGCGAGAGGCACATCAACATGTAAATTCATACGCTTGGGCCGATCACAAATTTGTAAGCTGTATGTCGGATTTTTGTGGAATCCACTCCATTGCAATTAGAAAAGGGCAGATTAATTATTCGTGTTCTGTATGTGGTATTGTGGTCAAAGGTAGTTACTGTTTATGTAAGAGTCATGGTGCTGACAAGAAACAGTTTCAAATTATCTAGGAGAGGAAAAAGGCTTACCGAAATGAGATAAATAGATTGGGTAGAATTCAAACCAATTAGACATTAGTTCACATATATTTATATATCACAATGACTTATGTTGTCAGAGAGCTGAAAGCTTTAGCAAAGCAACATGGTCTACGTGGATATTCTCGAAATGAGAAAAGCTGAATTGATCGATTTACTCGGTTTGGAATACAACAAACCCCAGACTGTTAGATAACTCAAAGTTCAAGCAAAAAACAGTGGGCTGAGAGGTTATTCTCGAATGAGAAAAGCTGAATTGATCGCTTTACTAGATAATAATGATCTTGATAATAAACAACAAGATGATGTTTATAAAAAAACAACAAGATGATGTTCATAAAAAACAACAAGAATTAAAATTTGTTTTTACCTAAAATTCTCATAATGGTGGAACAATGATGAATGTATGTGTATATATATATATGTCTACACAATGGTGGAACAATGATGAATGTATGTGTATATGTGTATGTGTACACAATGTTGGAACAATGATGAATGCATGTGTATATATGTATGTCTAAACAATGATGGAATAATGATGAATGTATGTGTATATATGTATGTCTACACAATGGTGGAACAATGATGAATGTATGTGTATATATATATGTCTACACAATGGTGGAACGTTGATGAATGTATGTGTATATATATATGTCTACACAATGGTGGAACAATGATAAATGTATGTGTATATATATATATATATATATGTCTACACAATGGTGGAACGATGATGAATGTATGGGTATATATGTATGTCTACACAATGGTGGAACAATGATGAATGCATGTGTATATACGTATGTCTACACAATGGTGGAACAATGATAAATGTATGTGTATATATATATATATATGTCTACACAATGGTGGAACAATGATGAATGCATGTGTATATACGTATGTCTACACAATGGTGGAACAATGATGAATGTATGTGTATATATGTATGTCTACACAATGATGGAACAATGATGAATGTATGTGTATATATGTATGTCTACACAATGATGATGGTGGTTTAACGCATCTGTTGAAAGTTTTTGTTTTTGTATTCGACTGACAATCTACTGTGCTACTGACAACCATGTATGATGACGTTTTGGGATTCGAACTTACCGTGAACAGATCCCTGCACGAGTAAAGGGCGGTGCCTTGTTTCCTTCTAGAACTTGCTGACAAGAAACTGCTGACAAATAATCGATGTGTATGGAGTATACGATAACGTCTCCACTAGATAACAATGTCACCTACACGTATCTACATATCACATGGCTGTTGTGTCATGTTATCTTCCTAATAAAACAATAGGTGACATGATGTAGGCCAGGTTTGACATGGCTAGAGCTGTGTGCTACGGTGCGGTGGACGTCTTATCTGGTCCACGGCTGTAGCTCTCTACAGTGAGTCCCCTCATCCCACAAGTGTTCGATTGGGTTCAGGTCAGGGTTGAGGGCTGGCCACGGTAGAACACGGATGTTGTGTTGTTGCAGAAGGGGCATGGTAGCTCTGACAACATGGGGACGAGCGTTGTCCTGCTGGAAAATGTGTTGTTGATGTTGTGTAAAAAATGAACCAACGTGGGGTCTCATCACTTGGTCGATATACCGCTGAGCAGTGACGCCCTGTCCCCGACCTTGACCAACATTCAGAAAGCACATGGGCCCAAGTCTCGCATTAAGTCCAATCCCTGCCCGTATCATGACGCTAGGTCCACCCCCTGCATCCCTTTCCACAACTTTTCTGTCAGCGAAACGATCACCTCGACGCCGCCAAATTCCTACTCTTCCGTCTGTATGGGAGACACAAAAGCGACTTTCATCAAAGAAGACGACACGCCTCCACTCACGATGACGCCAATTGTGATGACCCTGTGCCCACTGAAGTCGTGCTCGTCGATGCCGTGGTTGGAGAACAGGACGACGTGCTGGTCGACGACATCTGACGTTGTTGGAGCGGAGACGTCGGATCACAGTGTCCCAGCTACTGTGTCGATTATGTGTTCCTATGGTCCGTCGAGCACTTTCACTTGCAGTTAGGAACGGATGTCGCTGGTGTTGACGGGTAATCTGCCGATCTTGTCGAGGTGTGGTGACCCTAGGACGACCGCTCCGAGGAAGGTCATCTGTGGTCTTTGTAGCATTGTATCGATGTAGGAGACGGTAAATTGTGGTTATGTTAACGTTGAAATGACGGGCAACATCTTGGACAGACTCTCCTGCTTCCAAACGTCCGATAGCCTGGTTTCTCTGAATTTGAGTTAGGCGTGGCATTGTTGACCAAGGAGTGGTAGGTCCAAGAATCGGCCACAGTTTTATACCCACTACTGTTCTGGACAGTTCGTGCATTTTCGATTTCGCGAGAAATGGGTGCATGATACCCACATATTCACTGAAATGGTGCATTTTGGCCATTCGTTTTTTATGTTGCGTTTTTACTCGGGCATTCCAAAATGCAACCAAAAATATTGATAACACCATCTGGCTTCACTACATGCAAAAACTCGTATCAATTTATGGTTCCGTGTTTGTTACCTATTTGCTTAAAATCACTTGCGGTTCTTTTTCGTGTGAGTATGTTTCAGTTGTGCTCAATATATAACAGGCAGTGACAAAAGTAAGTCTGTAACACATGACCTACTCAATGTGGCAAAGAAGTATGAATTATGGACCACAATAGTTCACTTTATGAAAACTAACCAGTTTCTATCCAAGGATGTGGGGAACAAAACCGTACAGAATAAAATAACAGAACATGAAACTGCTCATTGGCACACGAGTCTGCGAGATCACCCTGAATAAAACAGATTTAGTAAAATTCACAGTAAGCTTGTACCTCATAGACTGTGGAATGTGTGTATTTTGTACATTATACCAACTAGACCTGTGTATGCACTTGTGAAGCTAGGAACACTACCAATAACACCTGGACAGTGTTTAATGTGTGATGACGAGTCCGATGACATAATGAAGCCCCAGCTGCTATGTTATAAAGCTTTAGTTGATGTGAGGAACACCCTCTATGAGCATCTATTTGACACTTTAAACCTCGAACAATACATGTGCATTGAGGACTGCGCAGATGGCGAAGTAAAACGTGTGACATATCTGGGTGGTATAACCGCTATTGTAGAGGATATGAGCCTTGACAGCTGGGCTGAATTCATATCTTCTGTATCACGAGATATAAACTCCTGGAACCTGCGATCAATGATCTCTCTGTAGACAGTATATCTCATGCCAGGACCAAGACATGCAAATATTCAGTATTGTCAATTTCTCTGCATAATGTCCTTGTAAATATGCTGTGTTAACATGACTCCAAATGTATATCACACTCTAAGATCATTCATTCATTCATTCATTCATTCATGATAACGCGTGAGATACGGGAAATTACGTAATAGTCTTTCCTATATGAAAGAATGGTGTATATCCGATACTTTGGCGAAACACTCCGGGGGGTAAGAAAGTCTGCAATTCTGAGATTCGAGAAGATTATTCTGTATATTATCCAGTGTCATTTTAAGAGAGGAAGTGAGGAAAGACGTTTGAATTGTCAACCCAACATTGAAATTCCACTGAAGTCAACCTATTGTTCCGAGGACACCAATTCCTGCACTTCTTGATGAACAATTAATGAACCTAGAATTGTTATCATGAGTGGGGCAATGTGACGTCATACCGACAATGAACACTGAAAACCACTACAAGGCACGTATGCAAATATCGAAATGCTGTTTCACTCGGTATGTCTCAGCTCTGGGTCATGTACACGCGGTCCCAACAACCTCACTCGGAAGGAGGAGTTTCTACAGTCTTTCTATGTGGTTTCTAAAGGATTTCTACGGGGTCTGTAAGGTTTTCTAAGGGTTTGTTGGGGAATTCTATGGGATTCTACGGGTTTTCTACGGGTTTTCAGCGCGTCTTCTACAGCAATCACACACAAAACTATACTCATGCTGCAGTCGTGAATATTTGTGTATGGCTTTACATTTAATTGATTCGCCTGGTTCTCATGTGACATAATGTATCATGTAGCCTACGGTTACTTCAGCATTGTCTTGCACTATTTGCCCGTAATATCACGTCAATTTCCTTCTTAAACTGTGTCCGCCTTTAAATGCCTGAAGGGAAAATGTTATTCATTATATGTACGTATTTAGCAACTATATCTATCCGAACATTACATCCCGAGAAGACAACGGAGTACCCACCTGCTCAGAGCTGTAAACAACAGAAGTATTGTCCTCACAGTAACAAATATCAACTGAGCCCGCAAATGATCACGGATTAGCTAGCTAACCGCCACAGGTACAGCCAGGTACATTAACCATGGAGATACCGCTCGGGT